TTTCACAGCCTTGATGCAGGGGGAGGGCCTTGGACCTGCCTTATCTGCAATGTGCTAGGCTTTGCTTTTTCCCCATGGGAGGCCTACCTTTTCAGAGGAGGGGATGGGGAGTGGGCTGTGGAGGAAGGCTGGGGAGAGGGCAGGAAGAGTGATGAAGGAGGGATCTGTTGTTGATATGTGGGATGAATGAAAAATTTCTTAATAAAACAAACAAACAAAAAACCAAAACTCCCCACTGGTTAAGGATTAACACAACAGTAAATTCTTTCTTGGGTGTTATCTTCTCTATCAGAAAGAAAGCACTTGTATCACACCTAAACAGAAGTGCACAGGTTACTATATAAGTTCAACAAGTCTAGAAAACTTAGTAGTAAACAACTGAACAGATTATAATTTTCTTGAATAAATAATCATTGGAGTAGTTTGATATCATAAGACATTGGAAGAACATTTCACCTGTCTTTTTGCCTTATCAAATTTTAAGTAATTTTTTTAATATCTTATCTCTCCCTTTAAAAATATTTCTTTATCAAGACATTTACTTTAAATTCAGATTAATTTATTTTCAGGTAGCTAATAAAAAAGTATCTCCATGCTTTAAATCCCAGAATTTGAGAGGCTGAGGCAGGAGCTTTACTTTAGGTTCAAGGCCAGCCTGGGTTACATACTGAATTTTATGGAAGCCTTAGTTATAGAATGAGACTCTGTCTCAAAACCAAGAAACACACACACATGTTTTAGCTGATATAAACAATGAAAAATGATATTGTGGGGCAATCTCATGGCAAAGATTAGAAGATTAAAAAGTATTCATGTGAGGACTTTTGTAGATTGAATGAACTTGAACACCTCGATGGCAGGCTTTGCATCTGATTCTTTTTATTCCATGTTGAATTCCCAGTGCCTAATTTAGCACTGAAATGCATTTAAAGAACTGAGTGTCCTTTGAGTGACAATGACTGAATTAATAGTTCAAATGGAAAAATCCTCAAAATTACTACTGCAATTGCCTGGATTTGGCAATTCTCTGCCTCAGCCTCCCAAGTGCTGGGATTATGGATGTGTGGCACTATACCTAGCCTTGGCCATCATTTTTAGTGTTCTTCTCTTTATTCCTTCTGTATCCAACTTAACTCCTATTTCCTTTTCTGTCCTTCCATCCTTTTGGGGATTCCCCTGTCCAGCGTTATTGTATATTATGAGATAACCACTACAATCAAGCTGATAACATACCCAGCACTTTATATAACTAGCTGTCTTAGTGTTTGTATTGCTGTGATGAAACACCATGACTAAAAGGGAAGTTGGGAAGGAAATGGTTTATTTGGCTTACACTTCCATATTACTGTTGATCATCGAAGGAAGTCAGGACAGGAACTCAACCAAGGCTGGAATCTGGAGACAGGATCTGATGTGGAAGCCAAAGAGGAGTGCTGCTTACCGGCTTTCTTCCCCTGGCTTGCTCAGCTTGCTTTCTTATAGAACTCAGGACCACCAGCCAAGAGATGACATCACCCACCATCGGCTAGGCCCTCCCTCATTGATCACTAGTTGAGAAAATGCCTTACATCTGGCTCTCATGGAAGCATTTCCTTAACTGAGGCTCCTTTTCTCTGGTGACTCCAGCTTGTGTCAAGTTGACACACAAAACCAGCTAGTGCATTTTTATTTTTTGGTGTGTAGTAAGAACACTGAAAGTCTGCACTTGTAGCAGATTTCAAGTTATGATGGCAGTATCATTAAATATAGGAATGGTGCTGTACCTTCAGGATTTATTCATTTTGTGTAAGTAATACTTTATATCTTTTACCAACAACACCCTACTTGCCTTTGGTAATCACCATTCTCTTGTCTATTTCAATGCATGTGATTTTGAATTTCATTTGTATTTGAGATAAATACAGTTTTGTCTTTCTGTGTCTGGCTTACTTCACTGCCGCATGATTCTCAACAGACAAGATAATGGAACCAACCTACATGCCTGTCAAAGAAGAAATGGATAAATAAAATATTGTTAACATAAATATAATGCAGTAGTCACCATAATAAGAAGGAAATTCTGTCATTTATAACATAGATAAACCTATCTATGATCATGGAATGCATATGTTCTTTCTAGATATTTATTTCATTAACTTTGAGTGCAGTAGACCTAGCAGTTGGGATTTCTGGGCTTTATGATAATTCTAAGTTTTGTATGGAGACGCCGTACTGTTTTCTATAACAGTATGTATCCTCGCTAACAGCTAACAGCATTTAACTAGAGCTTTCTCAGCATCCTCGTCAACACTTGTTATCTTCTGCTTTTTAGTGGTAGTACTCTTTTTTCTTCTTTTTTTTTTTTTTTTTTTTTTTTTTTTGGTTTTTCGAGACAGGGTTTCTCTGCATAGTTTTGGTGCCTGTCCTGGATCTTGCTCTGTAGACCAGGCTGGCCTCGAACCTACAAAGATCTGTCTGGCTCTGCCTCCCGAGTGCTGGGATTAAAGGCGTGCGCCACCACTGCCCGGCGGTAGTACTCTTAACAGGTGTGTTGTCACACTCATGGTGCTTTTGACTTTCATTTTCCTACGTATCACTGATTTGAGCACCTTTTCATACATCTGGTCATTAGTTTTATTTCTTCTTTTGTCTAAGTGTCTAAATGTCTAAATTTAGCCTTCTACCCATTTTAGCATCAGGTTCTTTGTCTTCTTTCTTGTTGAGTTCTTAATTCCTTATATACTTCCAATAGCTCCTCATTCTCTAGGTTTCCTTTTCATTCTGGGTTTCGCTTTTTGGGTACTCTAGCTTGTTTATTTTTGCTTTTGTTACTTTTACTTTTGGTGTAATATCAAAAACCCATTACTCAAACCATTTTCAAGAATTGTTTCCCTCTAGTAGTTTTATAGTTTTGGTCTTATATTTTGAGATTTAATATAAATCTGTATTTATAAATTTTGACTTGACTTGCTTTTAGTTTGGGTTAGGGGTAGATTGTTATTTTTCTGCATGTGGATCCCCATTTTCCTAATACCACTTATTAAAGAGATTAGCCTTTTCTTTAAATTTAATTATTATGTTTTTACAATTTTATACATGAGTACTGTATATTATTTCCACCCCTACCTTTCCCAGTTCCAGCTCTTCCTGTGTCTGCTCTCCCTCTCAAATTCATGACCTTACACACACACACACACACACACACACACACACACACACACACACACGGAGCCCATTTAGTACTGTTCTTATGTATATGTGTTTAGAAATGACCATTTGGGATTAGGTAATCTATCAGGGAGCTCATTCCTGGAGAAAACTGATTCTCCTTTTCTCAACAGCCATTGATTGCTCATAGCCCTTGATCTAAGGGTGGGACCTTCATTATGCCAGTTTTATGTTGGCAACTATGTTGTTGTTGAGATTTCATAAATGTAGCTTTACTGACTTGACTATCATGTCTGGAAGACACTATCTAGCACAAACCATCCTAGTTATCTGTTCCTTACAATCAGCTCCCTCTTCAGTAACATTCTCTGAGCCTTAGGTATACAGGTTGTATTATGTCAATTAGAGCTAGGCACCCTGAGCTCACTTATTCTTTGCAATATAACCAGTTGTTGATTTCTTTAGTAGCTTCTATCTGCTGCAAAAAGAAGCTTCTTTGGTGAGAGGTGAGAGCTCCCTTACCTGTGGTTTTAAAATAAGTATTCAGATATTAAGTTAAATATTTATTATTTAGGAAAATAGCAGTAGTAGCTTCTCTTCTAGAGTCTTTGGCCTCTCTAGTCATGGGTGGTTGACTAGGTGTACAGTACCCGGCATGAGAGACTACCTTTTTCTTTATTGTGTATTCTTGGCCTCCTAGACAAAGATCAGTTGACAGTAAAAATGAGGATTTATATCTGTATTGAATATTACGTTTCATTAGTCCATGTGTATGTTTTTATGCTGGCACCATACTATTTTGATTATCACAGCTATAGCTCTGGAAAATCATTGAAATGAGGAAGTGTAATGGCTTTAGCTTTTTATTCTTGCTGAGGTTGCTTGGACTTTTCAGGATCTTTTGTAATGACTGCCTTGGAGGTATAAGCTATAGAGGTATGGGTAGTCATTTCCTGACTTTGCAGCTCCAACTCTAGAAGTCCTTCTGGTCCTCTATACTTGGACAGTCCAGGAAGCCTCTTTCACCCTCTTAGCACATGTATTATTCTTAGCTTTTCTCTTTTACTATAGACATGCTTAGCACATGTATTATTCTCAGCTTTTAATATAGATATGATATGACCCACATATTGATAATTATAACTTATTTTTGATTGAATTACTGTTTTAGAATATGCAGGATTTGAAAACTAAACATAGTGGGTCTGGATGTTGTTTTCACCTGCCATATCATTTTCCAGAACAGGCTATAAGCACTTTACCACAGCGTGCCACTTAACACTGTAAAACCCACCATCATTTGTGGAATCATGGCAAAAATAAATGTTACTAATTTGTTGTAAAATCACCACCTTGTGTTACTTTTGGTTTTCATTTCCCAAACGCCTATGATAATTTTTTCAGTTTGTTTTAGCTCAACTTTTTGAGACATGGTTTCTCTATCATGTAGTCCTGATTGTCTTGTGTAGAACTCTCTGTGTAGACCAGGCTGGCTGTAACTCACAGATATCCTCCTGTTTCATGGGCTCTGAAATACAGAATAATTTTATTTTATAGTTCTCAATGCATAGGTCCTATATACTTAAATTTTACTTGAAGAATATTTTCTTGACTAATATTGCAATTAAGAAAAAAGGAATTACCTAGAAATAAGCTTCTTAAATATAATATTAAGAAGCAAAATGTTCTTTGACATTGGTTTTTCAAAGCAGGGGGAAGAAATGATAAAAGATAAAGATGAGATTATTTGAAAAGTAGTTCCTTTTCTCTCATATAGCTTGACTTCTCTCAGTAAAATTTTACCTTCTCTTAGTGCTTCTCATATGATCAAGTCTTTGCTTCTCTTTGTTCAGGAAGAGGTAATGATGATGAATCTGATTTAGACGACCTGAATTTCCAGAAGTCTTTGCCTTCATCAAGTCAGAGAAAGACACCTACAAAAAAGGTATAACTGCAAGGGGAGCATTCTCTGCTAACTAATGGTGGTGGTAGTTAGATCATTGGCTTCACTCTTGTAGGAATTAGGAATAGGTGTTTATTTAGTTTTTCTCACAACACTTATGTCCTATTTAAAAAGAATACTTCTGATACTAAAAGTGACCAAAATAGAGATTGAGAAGACTGGCGGTTGTAGCCAGAGTTTCCTGTGTCCTTCTGGCTCCTGAAGTCACTCAGACCCAATCAAACACACAGAGACTTATATTACTTATAAACTGTATGGCCTAATGGCTCAGGCTTCTTGCTAGCTAGATCTTATATCTTAAATTAACCCATTTCTATAAATCTATACTTTGCCATGTGGCTGGTGGCTTACCGGTATCTTTACCTCTTACTTCTCATGGCGGTGGCGGCTGGCAGCATTTCCTGACTCAGCCTTCCACTTCCCAGCATTCTCTTCTCTCCTTATCCCACCAATACTGTACTTCCTGCCTGGCTATTGTTCAATCAGCATTTTATTTATCAATCAATCAGAGCAACACATTCACAGCATACAGAAAAACATTCCCAGCACTTCCCCTTTTCTTTTTTTTCAAAAAGTAAGGTTTTAACTTTAACATAGTAAAATTACATATAACAAAACAATTATAGTTACAATATCTAGTCTATTTATAATATCTAGTCTATTTGTATTTGGGAAATTTAAAGAAGATATCCTATCTATCCTATATTTGTGAGTCTAAAGTTTTATATCTACCTTATTTCTTATCATAACCAAGAAAAGCCATAATTATAACAGTCTAGTCTTCAACTACATCAAAGGCCTCAAAAGGATATAATATTACCTGAGAAATGGGAGATGGATGCAAGCAATTTTCGGGAGTCTTGTGAGAGTAGACAGAGACAGCTGGCAGCTTGGACAGTCATCCGAAGTTCCTCTGTAAAGTTGGGGCATCTGTCTTCAGCCCACAGGCCTAGAGTCTCTCAGTCCTATCTGTGTACTGTAGAATGTCTGGCAGTTTCCTCTGTGAATCAGGAACCTGAAGGACCATTTCGCTAAGCAAAGTTCAGTGGTCATCTTCCTATGGGTCCTGCATGTCCGGTCAATCAAGCAGTCGAGGCAAGAACAGTTTCTTGCTCAAATGGCTATTTTTGCCAAGAAGAAGATAAACTCCATATAGAGTGTCTTCAATGCCCATCCTCCTCTCTGAAGTAAATCGGTGCAGCCAGGAGCAGACATGTCTCACTGTACAGAAAGTCTAAATTTTTAAAACATTTAAATTATATCTATGTATACCTAGAAAACTTAACGTGACTATAAGTTTGACTATCATAGAAGACTAATCATTAATCTATATTTCTTAATTATCCATTACAATTTCAAATGAGCTGTACAAACATAATACCTTAAACAAGAGTAGAAATATACATACAGTATAACAAAATTAAGTTTAAACTTGTATCAATAAACTAAAATCTATACCAATGCAAAATATTTTAAACAAGTTGCTCTTTAAAAGTAGGTTCAATAATCTACCCTTTTATCCTCTCATATCTATATCATATCCCCTTTTCTTCTTTAGAAAGAGATTCCATTTATAATCAACCTGCTTTAAATAAAAATATAAGTTTTTCTCTGTCTGATACCAGAGGGCTCTTCAGATATGGGACACAAGAATCTCTCAATCTTTTTTTTTTTTTTTAAAGGAATATGCTTGGGTTTAGAGAAGGAGTTGAGCCAATTCTGTCTCCAAAGCCAGCTTGGTATATTTGGGAATTTGGGCGTAGTTTCTCATATTACTTCCTGCTGGATGAGGGTGCTGTATTCTCATGGGGACATAAAGAAAATTTTAGACTTATGGCGTAGTCCGTGAGGCTGTATTGTCTGAGCCAGTTGCCTTGAAACCATTCTGGATGTTGGGTATTCTGGGCCGTGGTGTCATTGGAGACCTTTCAGGGGGTCTTGGTTAGTCAAACCTGATGTATCTTAATCTGGAACAAATCTATAGCATCTTGCTTTCTGTGGAAACAAAAGCAGGGTCTCTTTTCCAAAGCAACATATCCTTAGATCCAAATTTTGAAATCAAGATACCTTTAAAATATACATATTGGTTTAACTCAGCAGTCTTTACAATCAAATGTCTTTCTGCAATTAAAACTCCCAAAGACAACACAATCCAGATTCTCTGTGTGATATCCATCTTTACATGGCTTATTTTTTTATATTACTTTTATTTTCTCTTTAAAGACTTTATTTTTTAAAACTATCTATTTCTTTATATAACTGTATATATTACTTTTTGTCTCTCTTTCAAGCCTACATACAGTTTTATACACATTGTAAATTATTCCATCTGAATCTGTCTTATTGTGAACCTCTTGCTTTAACTGCAGCATTTCTAAGACTAAAACGGCAGCAGTGGCTGCTGGCTCCACCCAGGTGGGCCTAGCTTTCCAACGTCGCGGAACTATGTTTACGCCAGCTTTGGGGGAACCATGTTCACTACTGGACTCTGGGAGGCAGTGGGTCTATGCCTCTATCAAAGCAGCGTGTAGCCCAGAAACCTTTTTTTCCCCCCTATACTAGCAAAGGCTAAATCTACCACAAAGTATAATGTGTGGCTTGCAGATGCCTCATTCCTGCCATGCTATAGGTCAAGCCCACACGCATGAACCCACCATAGAGTAGCTCAAGCCTGCAGGCTGCTGCTAACTTGAGAGTGACAACTAGGAAGCTGTTTTTAGCTCCTTTTAGAATCTTCTTTCTCAGGTTTTAGGTGGAAATTCGTGCTCCGTGTTGGACGCCATTTGTAGCTGGAGTTTCCTGTGTCTACCCGGCTCCTGCAGCTGCTCAGACCCAATTAAACACACAGAGACTTATATTACTTATAAACTGTATGGCCTAATGGCTCAGGCTTCTTGCTAGCTAGAACTTATATCTTAAACTAATCCATTTCTATAAATCTATACCTTGCCATGTGGCTGGTGGCATCTCCTGACTCAGCCTTCCACTTCCCAGCATTATCCTCTCTCCTTATCTTGCCTGTATTTCCTGCCTGGCTACTGGCTAATCAGCATTTTATTTATCAATCAATCAGAGCAACACTTTCACAGCATGCAGAAAGACATCCCCAGCAGGAGGGTTTTGTTTTTGCCAATCTAAAGAAAACTGCTTTCATTGTTGCCCTGGAAATTTTACTTGTTTTGACATTCACACCATTTTGTGTTACTACGAGGTACAAAATAAAAATGAAATATGAAGCACACTTAGATACATTGATGTTAAATTTTTATTAATAGGAACAATATGGTATATTATCTTCAAATTTTAGAAAGACAATGTTACAAAGAATCTAGCAAGATCAGTATTCTTAGCATACTGTCTTCCTTGGGGAGCTGCTGCCAGGCTTAGCACAAAGAGGGAAGTGTATTTTAAGCTTATAGAGTCTTGCTAGAGAATTAAGACTTGTGTCTATATATCCTCCTCCCTCACTGTGCAAGCCGCTTTTTCTTTTTCTCTTATCCAATCAACTGGAGCTTGGGGACTTTGATGATGGTGCTGCCCCCTCTTTCATCTCCTAAAGTTCCAGCAGAAATAGAAAGATCTGTACCATGAGCAAGTACTTCTCTTCACACTTCCCATCCATTTCTTTCACACTTCTGCTTCTACCTCAGGCTGACAAGAGTGCTGCTTTAAAGAGTGATGCAGCTTGGTTGCAGTCTGTAGTGTTGTCTACCCTTCCATTATATGTGAGGTAGATACATCAAGGTCATCATCACATCTGGCTTGGAATCTCTATCTTAGTGTAGTGTTTCCTCTAGCAAGCCTCCATGTCCTAATTGTTCCATAACTTCCCCAATCAGCACCACCAACTGGGGACCAAGTGTTCAGATACATGAGCCTGTGAGGACATTTCTCATTCAAGCTACCATACCAGCAACCATTTAACTACCTATAGATCCTCATGGAGGGGTGGGACCTTGTGAAGCTCATGCCCCTAGTTTAAGTTAACTGCCTAAAATCCTCAGGGAGGGGCTGGAGAGATAGCTCAGAGTTAAGAGTCCTGATTGCTTTTACAGAGGACCTGGGTTCAATTCCCAGCACCCACATGGCAACTCACGGCTGCCTGTAACTCCAGTTCCAGGGGACCTGACACCCATGGCAAAACACTAATGCACATAAAATAAAAATAAATAAATTAAAAAATCAACCCCCCTTAAAATCTTCAGGGCAGGTGAACCTTGTTGTAACTTCCTCTCCCATGACAGGATGCTGAGTGTCCACTCTTGTGCAGGTTATTATAGTTGCTGTGAGTTCAAAAGTGCCATGTCTGTGTCATGCCCAGGAGACAGCGCTCTACATGGATTACTCTTATCTTCTGGTTCTTTCTGTCCTGTCTGCTACAATGTTTCACTCCCCAAGTGTTAGAGAATATTGTGATATAAAATTCCCATTTATGGTTAAACATTCAACAGTCACTTACTCTTAGCACTTTGGCCAGTTATGAGTCTCTGCTATTTTTACTGCTCATTGCAAAAAATGAAGCTTCTCTGACCAAATACAACAGCAACAATAATATATGGGAAGAAACACAATTATTGAGAAGATAATTTGATGAATACATTGTAGACACTTATCAAAGCAGTAGCTGTAGCTTCCTTAGTAGGGTCTATGACTTCCTCAGCCACAGGCTTTTGACCAGGTTTATGAAAATAGAATTGTTCCTATGGAGTAGGCTTTAGTCCTAATTAGTAAGGGGTTAGCTGCCCCAGAACAGACTTGCCACTGCTGTACCAGTGGACACATCTTGACTGACCGGTCAGAAGAATAGCATGTGGTGTCTGTGGCTCAGCAAGATTATTGATGGTATCCCTCCCCAGCATGCTCATTATACTTTTCTAGCATTGGGAGGGCTAACCAGCAGGTAGCTTCCATCTCAGCTTGATTTCTGTCTGTCTTAAAACCAGAGCATTACTTTCTTAGCAAGAGACTCTAGTGTCTTCTACTGTCTAGTTGCAGTGAGCAACCAGCCACAGTGGCGATCGCCTGTATTGTTTTAGGGTCTCAGGAACGTCCCTTAACAACAGCTTGTAGGGAAGTAGTCCAGCCCTGGCACTGGCATCATTCAATAACTGTGGTTTCTGGGATCAATTTTAGCCATCCATACAGGATACTTCTGTTCAAACTCTTGCTGTTGTTTTTTTAAAATTTTTGTTTTAAAAATTAGCTTTATATAACTTTGATTCCTGTGTACATTTTTGTTTTGAAACAGGGTCTCCCTATGTAGCATAGGCTGGCTTTGAACTCATGATTCTCATTGCTTCCCATCTCCTATATGCTAGAATTATAGGCATGTACCACCATGTCAAACTTGGTTCTTTCTAAAATGGAATATATTTTGTGACTCAATTTTTGTTTATCTTGTCAAATTTTATGGCATTGTTTACCTAAGAAGAGTTTTGATATGTTTCCTACTTCTAAGTAATATCTCATAACATTCCTGGATGGCTTTTGGAATATATAAGGGGAGATTAACTAATTTTAACAGAATTTACTTAACTTATATTTCATAAGACAATTTGATATTGTAATTACTTGCTTTCTTTTTTAATATGATGTCTCTTAGAAATTTTGTTTTTTATAGACTTGTAAATTTAATACTAGAAGATGGTTAAATATTTGTGTATACTCATTTTAGTTATGAAGAAATTGACACTTACAAGATGAAGTAATTGGGTTGTGACTATATGGCTCTTCAGGAGCAGAGAAAAGACCCTGCCTCCTAAGATTACTATTTTCACTATATTTTGTCCAGCAAGGATATCCTTGTTGTATACAGTGTAGAAAAACTTAGGCCCTTCAGAAAAAATTACCCAACCCTTTCTTTAATTTGCTATTAATTTATTCACTGAGCAATTGCCCAAAGACCTGGCATCTTAATGATGTATTGTGTTTCTTCTTGTTTTGGTATTGTTAGCTAATCTCATTTCATTCAACCAGAGACATGATAGAGCCTTCAGCTTGAATTTCAGTTATCTAGAATAGTTTGCTTTAAAATAGTTTTAAAAGATTTATTTATTTTGTTTTATGCATAAGAGTGTTTTGTCTGCATGTATGTGTGTGACCCATATTCATGATTGTATCCATGGATGTTAGAAGAGGTATTGAATCACGTAGAATGGAACTGGAGTTGCAGAGGTTGTGAGCTCCCACATGGGTACTGGGAACTGAACCTGGGTTCTTTGAAAGAACAACAGGTGTTCTTAACCCCTGAGCCATCTCACCAGCCTCTAGAATAGTTTACTTCTTTAAAAATGTTATTGTATTGATTTTAAAATATGATTTGAAAAGAATCTTTATATGATTTTTTATCCCTCTAATTAAATTCAGTGTTTGCAACCAATGAGCCATATACAATACAGAATGTTACAAGTATATGAAAGAAGAATAACAATTTTCCCTTAGGCAGTGCAAGATTTCATGGTGAAGACACATGTAGAGTTGTTGAATTTAAATTGTGAAAGTACTAAAGTAAAGCTATAATGTTAAGAATTTTATATTCACAGTAAATAGAATGTCAAAAGTACTTACATGAATTTCTTTTAGCCTGTTGTAATAACCAATTTTTTCAAATGAAGCTAATTTTTATTAGCTTTAGGCAGTTAAATATCCAATGAATATTATTTATATTTAATGTAATAAATATTAATTTAAATTATTAAAATTAAAATATTCACATATAAAGAAAATATATAATTAATAAGTATTAATTATATAATGATATTAATAATCTGCACTCTATTTTGGAAAATTGGGGACTATTTACTAAGTTCGTGTACATTTGAAGTGATTTTTCAGAGAGTTAAATAATACTGCGTGGTTACTATTTTAATTACATCATTAGAGATCTTACTATTTTTAAGACTATAGCAACAATATTTCTTTTAACTATATTTTCCTAAAATTGTGTCTATAATTTGTTTCCTTTTTTATGCCTTTAGGTTTTTGAGAATAAAGTTAAATCAGAGACGGTGAAATCCTCTCCTCTGACATTCTCAAGTAAGAATTATGAGTATCTTTTTCAAGAGCCTTCAGAAAGGTAAAAAAAAAATATTTTTTGAGTTTTCTATTTATTGTCTTCATATTTATGTTGGCCCTCTAAATGGAGGTGGTGATCAAGAACCCTTAATATCTGATCATTTTTCACAATGCAGTTCTTTTTAAACCCAATTTATCTTTCTTAGAAATAAGATTTTTATCACATCATAAATGTAATATTAACAATAAAAAGAAGTTCTCAAAAGATTTAGTATCTGTATTATCTCAGTAGGTACAAAGTGTAGACTGAAGTTTCTCAGTCCCACCTGGGCAGCAGCCATTTTTATAAAATAATCATTCAGAGGCTTAATTTTAATTACAGACTGTTTGGCCTATATCTCAGGTTTATTGCTAGCTAGCTAGCTATTACATCTTACATTAATCTGTTACTTTTTTAATACTTTTTTATTTAAAAAATTTTCCTTTCCTTTTACATACGACCCCAGTTCCCCCTCCCTTCCCTTCTCCTGCTCCCCCCCCAACTTACTCCCATCCCACCCCTGTTCCCTCCTCATAAAGACCGGCCTCCCTTGGGTAGTCAACACAGGCTGGCATAACAAGTTGGGGCTGGACCTAGCCCCTCCCCACTGCATCAAGGCTGAGTAAGGCATTGCACTATAGGGAATGGGCTCTAAAAAGCCAGTGCGTGTACCCAGGATAAGTCCTGGTCCCATTGCCAGGGGACCCAAAAACACATTAAGCCACACAACTTTCACCCACATTCAGAGGGCCTAGTTCGGTCCCATGCAGGCTCCACAGCTGTCATTCCAGAGTCCATGAGCTCCTACTAGCTTAGGTCAGCTATCTCTGTGGTTTACCCCATCGTGATCCTGACCCCCCCTTGCTCTTATAATCCTTCCTACCTCTCTTCAACTGAACTCCAGGATCTTGGCCAAGTGCTTGGCTGTGGGTCTCTGCACACACAGTCACTGAATGTAGGTTATATGATGACAATTAGGGTAGACACCAATCACCAAATTAGCAGGGGAAGGCTAGTTCAAGCACCTTCTCCACCATTGCTGAGACTTAGCTGGGGATAATCTTGTGAGTTCCTAGGGTTTTCTCTAGCTGCAGATTTGACCCCATCCCCTTAATGGTACACTGTCAAGACATCTGTTTCAGTGCTCTCCCCCACCTCTGTCTCCCTCCAAACTTGGCCATCTCTAGACCTCATGTTCCCACCTCCCATCCCCTCCCCTCTATTCCCCTTTCCCAGTTTACCCAGGAGATGTTAACCTTTCCCTTCCTGGGGTGATCCATGTGTGTTCCTCTTAGTGTCCTCCTCTTTACCTAGCTTTTCTGGTGTTGTGGATTGTAGCCTGGTTATCCCTTTGTTTTGCGAGTATATACCATGTTTGTCTTTCTGGGTCTGTATTACCTTACTCAGGATTATTTTTTTCTAGTTCTATCCATTTGCCTGCAAACTTCATGATGACATTGATTTTATCACTGCGTAATACTCCCTTGTGTAAATGTACCACATTTTCTTTATCCATTCTTCGGTTGAGGGGCACCTAGGTTGTTTCCAGGTTCTGGCTATTACGAATAATGCTGCTATGAACATAGTTGAGAAGATGTCCTTGTGGTATGGTTGAGCATCTTTTGGGTATATGCCCAGGAGAAGTGGGTCTTGAGGTAGGTTGATTCCCAATTTTCTGAGATACCACCATACTGATTTCCAGAGTGGCTGTACAAGATTGCATTCCCACCAGCAGTGGAGGAGTGTTTTCCTTTCTCCACATGCTCTTCAACATAAGCTGTCATCTGTGTTTTTGATCTTAACCATTCTGACAGGTGTAAGATGGTATCTTAGAGTCATTTTGATTTGCATTTCCCTGATGGCTAAGGATGTTGAACATTTCCTTACATGTCTTTCGGCCATTTGAAATTTTTGTGTTGAGAATTCTCTGTTTAGCTTTGTAGCCCATTTTTTAATTGGATTATTGATACTTTTCTGTCTAATTTCTTGAGTTCTTCATATATTTTTGGAGATCAACTCTCTATCAGATGTGGGGTTGGTAAAGATCTTTTCCCATTCTGTAGGCTGCCTTTTTGTCTTGTTGACAGTGTCCTTTGCCTTACAGAAACTTCTCAGTTTTAGGAAGTCCCATTTATTAATTGTTGCTCTCAGTGTCTGTGCTACTGGTGTTATATTTTGGAAGTGGCCTCCTGTGCCAGTGTGTTCAAGGTTACTTCCCACTTTCTCTTCTATGAAGTTCAATGTAACTGGATTTATGTGAGGTCTTTGATCCATTTGGACTTGAGTTTTGTACATGGCAATAGATAAGTATCTATTTTCATTCTTCTACAATGTAGATATTCAGTTATGCCAGCACCATTTGTTGAAGATGTTGTCTTTTTTCCATTGTATAATTTTTTTCTTCTTTGTCAAAAATCAGGTGTTTGTAGGTGTGTGGATTAATGTCAGGGTCTTTGATTCGATTCCATTGATCCATGTATCTGTTTTTGTGCCAGTACCAAGCTGTTTTTATTATTATAGCTCTATAGTAGAGCTTCAAGTCAGGGATGATGATGGCTCTGGAAGTTCCTTTATTGTTTTGGCTATCCTGGGTTTTTTGTTTTTCCATATGGAGTTGAATATTGTTCTTTTAAGGTCTGTGAAGAATTGCATTGGGATTTTGATGGGGATTGCATTGAATCTGTAGATTGCTTTTGATAAGATTGCCATTTTTACTATGTTGGTCCTACCTATCCATGAGCATGGGAGATCTTTCCATTTTCTGATATCTTCTTCAATTTCTTTCTTCAAAGACTTAAAGTTCTTGTCAAATAGATCTTTGACTTTTTTGGTTAGAGTTACCCCAAGATATTTTATGTTATTTGTGGCTATTGTAAAAGTTGATATTTCTCTAATTTCTCTCTCAGCCCATTTATCATTTGTATATAGGAGGGCTACTGAGTTTTTTGAGTTAATCTTGTATCATACCACATTACTGAAGGTGTTTATCAGCTGTAGGAGTTCCTGGTAGAATTTTTGGGGATACTTATGTATACTATCATATCATCTGCAAATAGTAAAAGTTTGACTTCTTCCTTCCCAATTTGTATTCCCTTGATCTCCGTTTGTTGTCTTATTACTCTAGTTAGAACTTCGAGTACTATATTAAATAGGTATTCAGAGAGTGGACAACCTTGTCTTGTTCCAGATTTTAGTGGGATCACTTTGAGTTTCTTGCCATTTAGTTTGGTGTTGGCTGTTGACTTGCTGTATATTGCCTTTATTATGTTTAGGTATGTTCCTTGTATCCCTGATCTCTCTAAGACCTTTATCATGAAGGGGTATTGGATTTTGTCAAAGGCTTTCCTAGCATCTAATGAGATGATCATGTGTGTTTTTTTTCTTTAAAGTTTGTTTCTATGGTAGATTACATTGACAGATTTTTGTATGTTGAGCCATCCCTGCATCTCTGGAATGAAGCCTAATTGATCATGGTGAATTGTAGCTTGAGTTTTCCTGCCTGGCCCACAGTCAGGACAAATCTCTCTCACCCGCCAGTCCCACAGTCGCTCAAACCCGATCAAGTAAACACAGACACTTATATTGGTTTTAAACTGTATGGCCGTGGCAGGCTTCTTGTTAACTGTTCTTACAGTTTAAATTAATCCATTTTTATTAATCTATACCTTGTCATGTGGCTTGTGACTTACCGGTACTTTACATCTTTCTTGTCCTGATGGCGGCTGGCAGTGTCTTTCTCACCAGCTTCTTGTTTTTTCAATTTTTTTCTCTGTTAGTCTCGCCTATACTTCCTGCCTGGCCATTGCCAATCAGTGATTTATTTATTGACCAATCAGTAACACATTTGACATACAGACCATCCCACAGCAGTGAATGATTTTTTTTTATGCATTCTTGGATTTTGTTTGCTAGTATTTTATTGAGAATTTTTGCATCAATGTTCATGAGTTGATTGGTCTGTAATTCTCTTTCTTTGTTGCATCTTTATGTCATTTGGGTATCAGGGTAACTGTAGCCTCGTAAAAGGAGTTTGGCAATTTTCCTTCTGTTTCTATTGTGTGGAACAATTTCAGGAGTATTGGCATTAGCTCTTCTTTGAAATTCTGATAGAATTCTGTGCCGAAACCATCTGGCCCTGGGCTTTTTTTGGTTGGGAGACTTTTGATGACTGCTTCTATTTCCTTAGGGGTTATGGGTCTATTTAAATTGTTTATATGATCTTGATTTAATTTTGGTATGTGGTATCTATCCAAAAAATTGTCCATTTCTTTCACATTTTCTGATTTTGTGGAGTACAGGTTTTCGAAGTATTACTCAATGATTCTCTGGATTTCCTCAGTGTCTGTTATTATGTCTCCCTTTTCATTTCTGATTTTGTTAATTTGGATATTCTCTCTCTGCTTTTTGGTTAGTTTGGATAAGGGTTTGTCTATCTTGTTGATTTTCTCAAAGAACCAACCCTTTGTTTCACTGATTCTTTGTATTGTTTTCTTTGTTTTGATTTTATTGATTTTAGCCCTCAGTTTGATTATTTCCTACCATCTGCTCTTCCTAGGTGAGTTTGCTTCTTTTTGTTCTAGAGCTTTCATGTGTGCTGTTAAGTCACTAGTGTGAGATTTCTCCAAATTCCTTATGTAGGCATTTAGCACTATGAACTTTCCTCTTAGCACTGCTTTCATAGTGTCACATAAGTTTTGGTATATTGTGTATTCATTTTCATTGAATTCTAGAAAGTATTTAATTTCTTTCTTTTTTTCCTCCTTGACCCAGTGGTGATTCCATTGAGCATTGTTCAGTTTCCATGAGTTTGTAGACTTTCAGGATTTTGTGTTGTTGAATTCTGTCTTTAAGCCATGGTGATCTGATAAAATACAGGGGAGTTTCCAATTTTTTTGTATCTGTTGAGATTTGTTTTGTTACCGAGTATGTGGTCAGTTTTGGAGAAGGTTCCATGTGGTGCTGAAAAGAATGTATATTCTTTTGTGTTTGGGTGAAATGTTCTATAGATGTCTGTTAGGTCCATTTGAGTCATAACATGTAAGTTCCCTTATTTCTCTGTTAAGTTTCTGTCTGGCAGACCTGTCCAGTGGTGAGAAAGGGGTGTTGAAGTCTCCCACTATTTGTGTGTAGGGTTTGATGTGTGATTTGAGCTTTAGCAATTTCTTTTACAAATGTAGGTGCCCTTGTATGTGGATTATAAATGTTCAGAATTTAGATTTCATCTTGATGGATTTTTCCTTTGATGAATATGGAATGTCCTTCTTTATCTCTTTTGATTGATTTTAGTTTGAAGTATATTTTGTTGGATATTAGGATAGCTACACCAGCTTGTTTCTTAGGTCCATTTGATTGGAAAGTTTTTTCCCAGTTCTTTATTCTGAGGTAATGTCTGTCTTCTAGGTTGAGGTGTGTTTCTTGTATGCAGCAGCAGGATGGATCCTGTTTTTGTATCCATTCTGTTCACCTGTGTCTTTTTATAGGTGAATTGAGTCCATTGATGTTAAGGGATATTAATGACCAATGATTGTTAATTCCTGTCATTTTTTTGGTGGTTTTGTGTGTGTGTGTGTGTGTGTGTGTGTGTGTGTGTGTGTGTGTGTGTGTGTGTGTTTTCCTTCTTTGGGATTTGCTGGTGTGAGGTTATCTATTGCCTATGTTTTGGTGGTTGCAGCTAACTTCCTTGGGTTGGAGTTTTCTTTCTAGTACTTTCTGTAGGGCTGGATTTGTGGATATGTAATGTTTAAATTTGGTTTTATCATGGAATATCTTGTTTTCTCCATCTATGGTGATTAAAAACTTTGCTGGTTATAGTAGTCTGGGCTGGCATCATGGTCTTTTAGTATCTGAGGAACATCTGTCCAGGACCTTCTGGCATTCAGAGTTTCCATTGAGAAGTCAGGTATAATTCTGATAGGTCTGCCTTTATATGTTACTTGACCTTTTTCCTTTGCTGCTCTTAATATTCTTTCTTTATTCTATATGTTTGGTGTTTTTACTCTTATGTGGTGAGGGGACTTTTTTTTGTGGTCCAGTCTATTTGATGTTCTGTATGCTTCTTGTCCTTTCATAGACATGTCTTTCTTTAGCTTGTGAAAGTTTTCTTCTATAATTTTGTTGAATATATTTTCTGTGCCTTTGAGCTGGAATTCTTTTCCTTCTTCTATCCCTTTTATTCTTAGGTGTGGTCTTTTCATGGTGTTCCAGATTTCCTGGATATTTTGTGTTAAAAATTGCTGGATTTAACGTTTTCTTTGACCAATGAATCTATTTCCTCTATTGTATCCTCAATGCCTGAGATTCTGTCTTCTATTTCTTGTATTTTGTTAGTTATTCTTGTCTCTGTAGTTTCTGTTCATTTCCTCAGATTTTCCTTTTCCTGAATTTGTTTGTATTTTCTTTATTGCCTCTATTTCAAATTTTCAAGTCTTGAACTGTTTCCTTCACCTCTTTGATTGTTTCTCTTGGGTTTCTTGACTTTCTTTAAGAGATTTCTTGATTTCCTCCATTTTTTTTGTTTGTCTTTTCCTCCATTTCTTTAAGGGAATTTTTCATTTCCTGTTTTAGGGCCTCTATCATCTTCACGTAGTTGTTTTTAGTGTTGTTTTCTTCTGGATCATCTGCTTTGGGACGTTCAGGACTTCCTGTTGTATCACTAGGTTCTGGTGGTGCTGTATCTCTTTATGTTGTTTAATGTGTTCTTACACTGTCATCTACCCATTTCTTCCTTTAATCCCAACAGGTAGAGCTCCAGGTTGCTCTTCTTCCAATTGGTGCAGGTGGGACCTCTTGCTCCTATGGTTGCTCTTCTTCCCCATCAGTCCAGGAGTGGGTATGGCTCTGGTGGTCGCTGGTGCAGCAGGGGATGGTTGGCAAGGGGATGGGGTTGGGGGGAGGCTGCTGCCTAGTCTCTGGGGCTGCACTGGTTGTGGGGGAGGGGCACGGAATGTGCTCCCAGGGCCTAGGGGCTAGAGAACTGGGCTGACCAGTCCAGAGATAGGAGCCTTACCTGTTCCCAAACAGTGCAGGGTGGGTGAGTCACATTAACCCATTTCTATTAATCTATGTATCGCCACGTATCTGCTGGCATTACCTGTATTCTCTTATATCTTGCTCCCCTACTGGCTCTCAGTGGCTCCCTCGACTCCACCTTTCTTCTTCCTGTATCTTTGCTTGGATTTCCTGCCAGGCTGTAACCTGTCTTGCTATAGGCCAAAGCAGCTTCTTTATTAACCAATGGTAGCAACACCTATTCACAGCATACAGAAAGACCATCCCATAGCATATAAAGTGTTTGAAAATGTGTATAGTGCTCCTGGAGGGGAGAGTGTCCTTGAAGTAGCATAAAACTCAGGGCATATTCAGATTTGTTAAATAGTTGATCTGTTTTCAGAAAGAAAATTATATTTTTTAATCAATGGTACAACTAGAATGGTGAATTCTTAGTACTGTGTCTGAAAAAATTTGAAGAACCAGAAAGAAGGAAATTTCTATTTCAAAAACAAAACTAAAGAAAGACATGGGAGTTTTTGTTGTTGTTGTTGTTTGTTTGTTTGTTTTTCAAGGCAGACTTTCACCTGTGTACTATCCCTGGTTGTCTTGGAATTTGATTTGTAGACCAGGCTGGCCTTAAACTCACAGAGATCTGCCTTCCTCTGCCTCCCTAGTACTGGGATTAAAGGTGTGTGTCACTACACCTGGCCATAAGAATGAGAGTTTTTATGTTTATAAATGTCCAATTTTAGGTACTAAATATTAAATCAAAATCTGTTTGATTGGACTATGTTTCCAGAGAAATTTATCAATAACATTAACTGTACTCACCGGAATAGTATTGTATAATAATGTAAATATTTTTATACGTGTGTATCTGTGCAAAATGTGTGTAATATTCAGAAGTTCATTAAAGGAACAAAAAAATAAAGTTAGTTCTAAGTATTTTTAGACCCTATTGTCTGGTGAGTTCTATACTCCAATACGAAATACCACCTTTGCCACTCAGATCATAGCTTAAGTAGGCAAATAGATGTAGAAATGCAAGTGGTTGCATAGTGAGTATTACATAGTCAAAATCCAAAGACTGTGCTGCAGAAGGCTTACAGCTATTTATAGGGAGGAGTTTTTCACAAACTTTACAAAAAGGATATATTTAGCTTTTAATTATGTATATGTGTGTGCATCTGTGTACGTGTGTACAGGTGCCCATGGAGACCGTAGGTGTCGGGTCCTTTGGAGGTGAAGGTAGAGGTGGTTGTGGGTACTAAGAAATAAACTCGGGTTCCCTACAAAAGCAGTGTACACTTTTAACTGCCGAGCCATCTCTCCAGCTCCTCACAAGCATTTTGAAAAATATATAACTATTATTGGATTTAGAATTTAGGTAAATAGAAAAGCTAGCAGGCGAAAGGGGGGATTTCAAGATGAGAGACTTTTGAGAAAAGTAAGGGCTTACAAAAATATCTTACTAATGGTGAGGAGGATATGTCAAGATGAGATGATGTATGTGGGTTGGGATGACAGCAAGCTAGAGAGAGGAGAATTAAAACTAAAAATATAGTTCTGACTGGAGTTAGGGAACTCAGTGTGTATGAAGCTAAGCATATATTTATTTTGGTTTATTAAAATTAAAATGAAGCAAGTTAGATTTCTAGTTTCATTCCTCTGACTGTCTGCCCATCCATCCATCTGTATTTTCTACCCCCTCTGCCAGCCTTGAAAGGAAACATGAGGATAGCTTAGAGTGCTAGGGAATGAACATTAATAACATGTTTACAGGGGTTCCAACAAGTGAGGAAAAATAGTAAAAATATCAAATGTTTCCACAGAACCAAAGAAAAAGACATGGTTCAAGCAGAAAGTACATGTGAAAAAACAGTAGAAATCATGATGGAAAATAAGCAGCTGCAATAGTTTATGTGTGCAACCAAGAGTCTTTATTTTGAAGTGGCCTTGTCATCATAATTTTAGGGAGAATGTTTGCTAGACATTGAAGATTAAGTCCAGACAGCAAATGGGGAGAGCTTTCTAAGTGAGGCTGCAAATGAGAGGGCAAGAGCCAGGTACATAGTCTAAGTAAACTGAGTAGTAAGATGTCAGCAAGGGAACAAGAAGTCAGTACAGCAAGTTAAAAAAACCTAGAGGAATTATTAACTAGACAGATGAGGGAAAATGGAATATTTCAGGATATGGAAGAATATATAGATAATGAGTTGTTGAAAAACAGACAAGTCATAGTTGATTAATTCTGAACAGGGAACAAGTAAGGAGTGATGAGGAAGGTTGATAATCTAAGTACTTGTTTTCAGAGAGTTAAGTTCTGGTTTATATTTTCTAGGAGTGGTTATTGCTTTTCAGGAAGGAAGAGAATGAGCTAAGGACTACATGAGGGGAATGGCTGCAGTGAGCTGTAGTGAATGGATGGTAGAAATCGTCTAAGAACATAGAAATGGCTTCTCAGTTGGTGTTCAGAATCCCAGTTGTTCCTATCCTTCTGCCTAGCTAAGAGAGAAGAGAGGATGATTGGTGGATTGGCCAAAGGGTTTGCAAGCCCAGTGTGAGGGGAGAGGAAGTTTGTGATAAGGTTTGGAAGTTTAGAATTACCTGAGAAGGGAGTCAGTTACAGGTGATGAGAGTAGGGATACTAGGAATACATGGCTGAACTGAAATGAAGGTGGCTATCTATTGAACAATGAGGTTAGTATAGGTTCTTTATTAAATGTACACGTTACATGCTTTTCTAAATCTCGTGTGTGTTTCTTTTCTAGTGAGAGTGATGTCAGTGAGTTCTCGAATAGAGACAGGTGGGACAGTGTGGACACAGAGCCTGCAGGGCCGTCAAATACTGTCTCCCCAAGGCATCCTGGTACGGTATTACACCATTGGTGGTAGTAAGTTCTCAAAGGGTATGCACAAAGATGTTTTTAACAAGAAAGAAAGAAAGAGCTGCGGTAGATTTTTAATGTGAAAATAATTTTTTAAAGATTTTAGTTTTTGTTTTCTTATATAAACTGCTTTTATTTTCAATTAAGTTTTTAAAGTTTGGATTCAAAAATGGATTTAATTAAGGCATTCTCATAATATATTGTTTTTATATCACCCTCCCTGTTGCCCTCTCCTCTTCCCTTGACCCCGTCTTGCTGGTCCCTTCCTCCTTCACCAGTAGTCCTGCTTTGGTTCTCATGCCGTATCTGTCCTGTTACCTCATCTGCCCCTCACGATCTCTTCTTCCCCTTTCCAGTTTCATGACCCATACATACATACATACTTTAAAAATAAAAACACTAGCACCTCATATTTATGAGAACATTTTCTACCCTTCAATCCATTTGTATTTCCGTGTGTGTGTGTGAGATACTGCACCTTCTCATAGCATCCCTCTCTGCCTAGTGTCTTTGGCAATTCTGTGGGAGAAGGTTTCCTGTCCCCACTCAGTAAAGAGATTTGTAGCAGTACTGGCCTGTTTAACAGTGGGCCCAGCACTGCTTCGTTTCTATCTGCTTGGAGTACAGCTTTGGTTGGGTTCTTTTCTCCTACCTGCAGTAGGTCTTCACTTTGCTACAATAAGATTGGCTGTATTTCTGTACATAGTTAAAACTTTTGTTCTGGGGAGCTAGATCCTACTCAGGCATTATGCATTTTCCACAGGGTAGTATCTCCCTCTCCCAAGCCTGAAACTTGGGAAATGACCCTTTCCAATCCCTGCTGTACTCCCAGGCCTTCTAATGAGTGCTTGTTGGAACTCTGTGGAGTTGAGTCCATGAGTGTGTGCAGACTCTTTGTGCCCTTGACTTCTTGGGATTCTGTATTGTCGCACTGCCCTCTCATGTTGGCAGTACACTGCTTGTGACCGAGTGCTTGCTTCCCAGACATGCAGTTCTCCGTTTCTCTCCTTCTCACGAGCCACCCCAAGTGAAGTAGTGTTCCAAATCCTGTCATTCTGTAGAGGACTCAGTGTTGCCTTAGACTTCTGATTCTTCAGCTGCCCTGGTCTCAGCCATCGGATAAGTTCAACAAAAGGATAATTCAGTGGGTTTAGCAAATTGCATATATTATTAGGACACAAATGAGGCTCATCATAGCTTTCTATATATTAGGCAAAAATAGAATTTGTTATATAAGTATGTTTATAAGATATGAATAAATTCCTTTGTAAACCTATCTTTTTCAAAACAAATAGCTATGCATATCACAGTTTCTTTTCAGGATAATTAATGATACTCCGTTGTATGACTGTACCGTAATCTATATCATTGATTTCTTGCTGGATATGTAGATGTTGTGGTAAATATCCTTGGGGCTGAGTCTTTAGTAATACTCTTAGATTGAATTTTCAAGCAAACAAACACCCTTAGATCTGCACTACTCTAACAATAGCACATGTCCACAAGCTCGGTTCAGCGGTTTTAAAAGAAAGGGAAGGAGTTGTGAGCCATAGAAAAATCCCACGCTTACCTCCTCTGTATCTGGAGCTATTGTTTTTAGCTCTGCCAGCACTCAGACATGACTTGTTTTGTTTTATTGTGAACTCGGAGTAACAATTCATGTTTGTGTGGCATGAAATTTATTTATTTCCACCGAGGACTGTTGTGACCTAACTGTTATAGCAAGGTAAATTCTCAATATAGCAAGAGACCTTCCAGAGAAGTGAGTCATTTCTAGGTGCTCTCCTCAATTTCAGTGTAGATGAGATTAGACTACTCCAAGAGTTGACTAGCAGAGCTATCATGACAAAAGGTTAATGCCCTTAAGATATGGAGAACTCTGTATTGACAAGTAAAGGACCACCAATAGAAAAATGGGCTAAAGACATTGATAGGCACATCACAGAAGAGAAAAAATGAAAACATGTTTCAATCTAACTGTAAATCAGGAAAATAAAAATTCAATAACATTGAAATAATTGTATGAACTGTATGAACAGTATAAACTGATTGGTTGTTTTAAAATGTAAAATGTATAAACATGATAAACATGTCTCATGATGGAAATAATTTTCAATTGTACACAGGGCATTTATATTCTTTGCCCAGAAGAGGAAATAATTCTACCTCCTTGCTCTTCTCTAACTTACTGTTCCTTTATTATCTTGTAAAAGAGAAAGGTGATTTATTTTATCTTACATTCACATTGAAGAGGGAGAAAATCTCATAGCTGTTATATTCATTTGTGCTGTATCTGCTCTCAATAATGACTCTCTTTTCTTTCAAACAAAGCTTTTCACTTATGTGAGTACCTAATTTGATTGTGGGTTTTTTGTTTATGGGTTTTTTTTTTTTTTTGTCTGATAAAATGATCACAGCATTCATTCCTCAATATCTGAGCAATTAGCAGTTCTGCTTAAATTGGATGGCTGTGGTTTTCTTTATTTTTAAGATTTGTTTATTTTTTTATGTATAGTGTTTTGCCTGCATGTATGCCTGCATGCTAGAAGAGGGCACCAGATCTCATTCTAGGTAGTTGTGAGCCGTCATGTGGTTGCTGGGAACTGAACTCAGGACCTCTGGAAGAGCAGGCAGTGCTCTTAACCCCGGAGTCATCTCTCCATCCACATGGCTGTGGTTTTCTGTTGCCTTCAGTTGTGTTCCGCACACCCTAGAGGGTCATTGACCATGCTGCTTTTTCCCATTGCGTAAGGGTATCCCCATTTTCCCTTGATAATTACAATCTATCACATCAGGCAATATAATAATCTTCTTTTACTTGTTAGTTGTATACAAGGAGCACAGAGGGCCTGGCGGCATTGTCAACTTCCAGTTCAATAATCATTATTTCCCCCAACAGACTCATTTCTCAGTCTTCTTAGATCTACATTGATTTCTTTCATCAGGTTTTAGTTGTTCTGAAATTTTATCGTACAGATTATATACATTCTTTTTAGGTCTGTATCTTAAATAGTTCATGTTTTGGTGCTATTATAAATGGGACTTGTGTGATTTTTTTTTTTTTTTTTTGGTTTTTTGAGACAGCGTTTCTCTGTTTAACAATCCTGGCTGTTCTGGTACTTGCTTTGTAGACCAGGCTGGCCTCGAGCTCACTGAGATCCACCTGCCTCGGCCTCCCAACTTCATAGATCATTCACTGCTAGTATGTAAAAATATGACTGACTTGTAAATTGCCCTTGTAGTTTTTAATGACTTTCTTGAACTCATTAATTCTGGGATATGTATGTGTATATATACTGTGGTGTAGCTGAAAGTTTTCCTGTGTCGCACAGATCCAAGTAAACACAGAGGCTTATATTAATTAAAACTGCTCAGCCATTAGCTCAGGCTTCCTACTGACTAGCTCTTAAACTAACCCGTTTCTGTTAATCTATATACCTATTTCTGTTAATCTATATATTGCCACGTGTTCCCTGGCTTTACCTTCATGCCATTACATGCTGCTCCCTGGATGGTGGACTGGCATCTCCTGACTCAGCCTTCCTCTTCCCAGAATTATCCTTGTCTGTTTATCCCACCTATACTTCCTGCCTGGCTACTGGCCAATCAACATTTTATTTATCAACCAATCAGAGCAACACATTCACAGCATACAGAGCAATATCCACAGCACTAATTCAATTAGGTAGGTAATCTTCAAACACTTCAAAGACCTGCAGAATATGGCAGTTAAAATGTTTTAAAAACTTAGACTTTCTAGACAATGAGACATATTTGCTCCTGGCAGCACCGATTTACTTCAAAGAGAAAGATGGGCATCGAAGACACTCCATATGGAGTTTATCTTCTTCTTGGCAAAAATAGCCATTTGGGCAAGAAACTGTTCTTGCCTGGACTGCTTGACAAAATGTTGTATCAACTGGACAGGCAGGACCCATAGGAAGGTGACCACTGAACTTTGCAAGATGAGATGTCCTTCAGGTTCCTGCTTTGGAGAAGAAACTGCCAGATATTCTACAGGACACAGAGAGGAACAACTGAGAGACTCTAGGCCTGTTGGCTGAAGAGTGGATGCCCTAATGTTATAGAAGAACTTAAGAACTTTGGATAACCGTCCAAGCAGGCAGCTGTCTCTGTCATTCTGAATTTTTGGAAGTTGCTTACAATGCTCTTCCTGTTTACTTAGGTAATATTGTATCCTTCTGGGGTCTTTGATGTAGTTGAAGACTAGATAGTTATAATTTTCCTTGGTTATGATGAAAGATAAATTGAATATGAGACTTTAGACTCACAAATATAAGATAAATAGAATACTTTCTTTGAATTTGCCAAATATAAATAAACTGGATATTATAACTGTAATTCTTGCTTGATAACTGTTTTGTTATATGTAATTTTGCTATGTTGGAGTTGAAACCTTCCTTTTTGGAGAAAAAGGAAAGGGGGATGTGCAGTGGACATTGCTCTGTATGCTGTGAATATGTTGCTCTGATTGGTTGATAAGTAAAACTCTGATTAGCCAGTAGCCAGGCAGGAAGTATAGGCAGGATAAACAGACAAGGAGAATTCTGGGAAGAAGAAGGCTGAGTCAGGAGACACCAGTCTGCCATCCAAGGAGCAGCATGTAATGACACACAAGTAAAGCCACGGAACATGTGATGACATATAGATGAACAGAAATGGGTTAGTTTAAGTGTAAGAGCTAGTCAGTAGGAAGCCTGAGCTAATGGCCGAGCAGTTATAATTAATATAAGCCTCTGTGTGTTTACTTGGGTCTGTGGGACACAGGAAAACTTTCAGCTACACTGTGGTGGTTTGAAAGAAAATGGCCCCCAAAGGGAATGGCACTATTAGGAGGTGTGGCTTTGTTGGAGTAGGTATGACCTTGTTGGAGGAAGTATGTGGTGATATATTATTTGTGTTTTAACAAATAAAACTTATCTGGGGATCAGAGGACAGAGCCAGCCACTAGATTAGACAT